CAACTCACAAGTAGTCGGTTGATTCCTTCCTGTCTAATCCCTCTCTTCCCTTTTGTCCGGCTACAACGTCCGGTACAAAGTGGATTAGAAGCTGACAGTCTATGAAAAGATGCCCGGCACCATGAGTCCCTCGGACGTGCCCATGGAAGCCAGTGACACCCTTCACAACCGCTGAGATGACATCTGAGTGTGGGGGAGGAGGGGGGGTCACGGGAGCCCTCCCGGCGTTTACGTAACATCGACTGCCTTACGGCCCTCGACTCCACACCCGGGGTTCACACTCAAGAGAGTGGAAAACGTACGTGCACACAAACACCGGTAGGCGGATGTTCACAGCAGCATCACTCACAACAGCCGACTAACAGGAACAATCCAAACGCGTCGGCTGCAGAACAAACAGAGATGTAGGTTGACTTTAATGACGGTGTAAACTTCAGCTTCGGATCTTGCATTTTTGTAGCATCATGAGGGATCCGAGGCACATCTCCAAATTACACTTTGCAGCAGTTTACGACGAAAATTAAATGCTGCAGTAAATATGAAGATTCAAAGACCTCCGAGAGCCCAGCTGGGGCGGCTCAGTGGTTGAGCATCGGCCTAGGAACCGGGAGGTCAGGGTCCGATTCCCGGGAGGTCAGGGCACAGGCCCGGGTTGCGGCTCCATCCCCAGTGGGGGGCGTGCAGGGGGCAGCCGGTCCATGCTGCTCTCTCAACAGAGAGTTTATTAAGATGCTGCCTCGTAGCACATTACCAACAGCTTCCTGGTGACCCCCGGGGAAGACAGCCTTCGAGAGGCAAACCTTTCCTGCCCCCCACGTTTTTATTATGGAAACTTACAAACAATAGCAAGGAGAAATGACAGCATATAGACACTCATCTACCCTCCACCTGGATCAGCCTAGTCACCCTCGAAGTCAGCGGTTCTCAACCTGTGGGTCGCGACCCCTTTGGGGGTCGGACGACCCTTTCACAGGGGTCGCCTAAGACCATCGGAAAACACATCTATAATTGCATATTGTTTTGGGGATTCATCACTATGCTTTCATGATGTTCAATTTGTAACAATGAAAATACATCCTGCATATCAGATATTTACATGACGATTCATAACAGTAGCCAAATGATAGTGATGAAGTAGCGACGAAAATAATTTTATGGTTGGGGGTCCCCACAACATGAGGAACTGTATGAAAGGGTCGCGGCATGAGGAAGGTTGAGAACCCCTGCTCTAAGTCCTTCACACAAAGTCACGGTTAGACGAGGATTAAAATCCAGGCCCTCTGCCTGCTGCGCGGCTCTGCCTCCCAGTTGCTGGGCTCTACCCTGGAGATTTAGGATCTGACCCGCACTAACCTCTCAGGAATGGTCACTTCCAGCGTGAATACTCCTTTTTCATAAGGTGTGTTGGCCCCACCTATTATTTCTTAAAAGGAAAAGGAAAAACCGTCAGAGGCAATCGGATGATCGGAATCACCACCCCACGTGGGCCTGTGAAGCCTGTGGCCGTCGCAAGGAGCTGGAAGTCTCTCTGGGCTTTAACCTCTCTGCACACAATGCACCATGGACCCCAAAGGTGTCACACTAAGGAGGCACAGAAGATCAAAAGGCGGAAGCCCCGGCCGGGTGGCTCAGTGGGTTGGAGCGTCATCCTGTGCAGCAAAAGGTTGTGGGTTCAGTTCCCACTCAGGGCACATTCCTACCTTCCCGGGACACGGAGGGCGCGTCCAAGACCGCGGGTGGACGTCGAGGATGCGGACTGAGCCCAGCGATCGTTCCGCCTGGTAGACCTCTGAACCGAACCGGCGGAAATCGGGACCGGACTCCGCACTGACTTCCAGCTCCGACGCGTGGGTCCCGAGCCGGGAGCACCAGTGGACCGCAAAGCCGCCGGGCGAAGGCTTGCACCTGGTGGACCCCGAGGACTGGGGTATGGGAACCCCATGGCATGTGCTCTCGCCCCGCCCCCGCCCCGGGGACCCTCGCACCGGTCGTAGGAACGAACCGGCGAATGTGGCTTGTGAATGACCATCGCGAGGAGCCCTGTCCGGTCTGACTGCCGTTCTGCACTTGGGGTCCATCATTCGGGAGTGTCGGCTGCTCATGTGACTGCAGGTATGTCCTGCTTCCACCCACCTGTGTCTTCTCCTGTTTTCTTCCTACCCCAACTGCAATCGGACCTCAGTGGCAGCTCTGTCTTCGAAACCGAAATGGATTTCTTTCTGGGTCCATTCTCTTTGAAACGTGTCTTTAAAAAAAAAAATGCCTCTTAGAAAAAGCAGGAACTGTGTTGAGTCCCGTGGAGAGGAGGGAGGAGGGATGGCGTGAGAAAGCGAGCAAATACCTGTAGTTTTGGCAATCCACCAAAGGATTGGATTAAGAAAAAATAAAAATAAAAGAACCCCACGGGTTACATGTACAGTGTCCGTGTGACCAGCAGAGGGAAGTGTGTTCACTGGTGGAAAGAGAGGCAGGCTGAGAGATTGCGTAAACTGCGTACAGCTGTCATTGCTTTTACTAGTAAAAGCACCATTGATGTTTCTCTTGGAATTATCGTGTTTTCTTGGATTACAAAATCCGCATTATTAACTGGTGAGGGGCCAATCCGCAAATGCTCTTTTTTTGGGCACGAAATTCGACATTTTTTAAGCGTAAAAATATCTACGATGTTAACAGCTTCAGAAAATTTGACATATGGAGTTTTGAAGCTTGTTGTCAATACAACAAAACAGCGGACATATCAAGTCGCATATGTATCAACATACGTGTGACTCCATCTATTGAAAAGAATCCGCGTTATTAACCGGTACACCTAGTAAAATGAAAATTTTCAAACATACAGAAAAGTTTGAAGAACCGAGTCATTGCATATGTTCTCTTTCTTTATGGGTAACACATTTAACGAATTTTGTTCAAGACTAAGGCCCTGGGGGGAGGGTTTGTTTATTAAATCAATCTGACAGGTTTTATAACCAAATTCACTGTGAATATGAAAATGTCCAACTTGCTGCCTTAGATTCCTAAAAAGGGTAGAGGAAGAGGAGGGAGAACCAAGGGACCTTAATATGTATTGGGAGCTGATGTATACCAGGGACAGTATTAGGCGTTCTTCCATACATTATCCCTTTTGATCCCCCTGGGTACAGTGAGGCATTATTATTCCTACTCTACAAATAAGGACACGGACTCGGAGAAGTCAACGAACTTGTCTAGGGCTGAGGATTCATGTGGATTTAAAGCTGGTGCCCTTCCCACTACCTGGATGCATCCCTTCCAGGATCTTTTCATGTTCAAGGTGTTTGTGTAAAACATGCAATACTGTATGTGTGTGCCTGCTCCTCCTCCCCATGCACATTGGCGCCGTGATTAATACATGTTAACGTGCCCTAGCTGGTTTGGCTCAGTGGATAGAGCGTCAGCCTGCAGTCTGAAGGGTCCCAGGTTCGAGTCCTGGTCAGGGCACATGCCCGGTTTCGGGCTCAATCCTCAGTTGGGGGGGGGGGTGCAGGAGGCAGCCGATCCATGATTCTCTCTCATCATTGAGGTTTCTATCACTCTCTCCCTCTCCCTTTCTCTCTGAAATCAACTAAAAATATATATTAAAAAAATACATGTTAACGTATTCTATGTTATGATGTGAATAAAACTCTAGATTCAGCTTTGTCTAGTTTTCCCCACTAGAAAATAGGATAATTACTGCCTCTTTTCCACTTCAAAGGGCTGATGTGACCATTAGGGTGCCAAGATTAGTTGGTGGTCAAAACAAGAATAAACTACGACTCCCAAAATGCCCCAAGAGCCAGCCTCGGGTCCGGGAGTCACTTCCAGCTTTGGGGCAAAGGTGACCCCACGGGGTCCCGCCGCGAAGCAGGGAGCCGCGGATTCTTGCCCCTTTCCTGATGCATCCAGGGATTTGTAGTTCCCTGAAGGCCGCAGGGCGCCCTTGGGGGCCGGTCTCCGACTACAAGTCCCGTGATG